TTCCCCCCTTCAGCCTTTTATCCATTAAAGTGGTTTAATTACTTCCTGAACACTAGACAGTTAGATAATTAGAAGGCGGCATTCAGACCAAAAATTTAAGCCACCCTCTTCAATCAGGGTAAAATTGTCTGATCAAGAAGCTAATTAAGAATCAAGTGTAGTGGCTGTTATTGGAAAGAGTTAGTTTGGGGCTTCAAAAGATCCTGCTTCTCTTTCCCCTGAGGCCCCCATCTCCTCCATTGTCACCGAGGCTTTGTTAAGCTCCTGCTACTGTGTTGGCTGCCCAACCCTCAACCATTCCTGGCCTCTGTCCTCGAGGGGTTTACAGTCTGGGAAAAGAACATTGAGGTGCTCAAATAGGCTTGTGGAAATAATGAACACAGGACACGTACTCACAAGGTTGAAGGAAGTAAGTGGGGTAGGATGATGAAACGGGGCAGAGAAGATGTCTCCTTGTCCCGTATCAGACAGGCCATATCAAGGAGTCCATTGGTGGTCTTCAGATTTATGAACTCCTAGATTCATCTGTGTGGTTTTTGTTCCAGGGAGATGGTCCTTAGCCTTCATCAGATCCTCAAAGGGGCACATGACCCAAGAGATTAGGAACAATTGGGCCACAGGGAGACTGTTTCTCTAACAAACTCTGGAAAACTTGATGCCAGAGTGCAATTTCAGGAAATATTGTCACATTAGAGGAAAGAGTAGCAGTGGGTGGCTATCTTGTCTCCTAGAATCACAGTGTGTTCAAGGTTGGAGAAGCTTTGAGATGTTTCCATCCCATCTCTGCTTGACATTGAGGAGGCTGGAGTGACTCATTGTTATTTGCTGTGAGTCAGCTCCTCCCCCCAGAGGCCAGGCCAGCAGCCTCCCCTCCACTGACAGTTGCTACGGGGTGAATGCCCAGTCTTCTCACTCCCCAACACATGGCCCAGCCTCCCAGACTACCCTCATGATATGGACCCCTTTCCTTTTATGTGCTTCTCTTAACTGGCTCCATCTTCCCAGCCCTTCCTCTGGACCTCATGGTCCATCACTAGCAACTTCTGTGAGTGTTTCTTTCATTGAAACAGCTGTCTTCTGAGGACACTGTTTCTTGCTGTCTCAAGTGGTAGCTGCTTTTTCTCCCATATACTCTATTCTATGGATCCTGGAGGTGAAGTCCACATCCTCCTTCCTCCCCATTATCACTTCCAAACTGCTTCTCTGCCTTTATCCTTCAGAAGCTTCAGTCCCGGGGCGCCTGGGTGGCTCAGTGGGTTAAAGCCTCTGCCTTCAGCTCAGGTCATGATCTCAGGGTCCTGGGATCGAGCCCCGCATCGGGCTCTCTACTCAGCGGGAAGCCTGCTTCCTCCTCTCTCTGCCTGCCTCTCTGCCTACTTGTGATTTCTCTCTGTCAAATAAATAAAATCTTTAAAAAAAAAAAGAAAAGAAAAGAAAGAAGCTTCAGTCCCTTTGAAGTGCATGTAACCATATTTGATGACACTTTCCCCTTCTTGATGCTATTGACTGCTGGCTGCCTACTTATTCCTCACATTCCTGGGGGCACCTAGTTCATACATTCCTTCCCACCATTCCTGTCTGTAGCATCCCTGTGATCAGTAGCTCTCAGGAGAGGTGGTACCATCCCCTAGGGGACATTTTGGAAATCTTTGAGATTTTTTTTGTTTGTTTTCTAATGTAGTTGTGCCCCAGAATTTGTGTTGAAATCCATACTGTCCAGTTATAAATGACTTCTCCTGTGTTTTTGGTTTTTTTACATTATCTGTTTAGGGCATCACATTAATTTATTTTTTAAAAAATCATGGTAGCTTATTTATCTTATGAATTTCACTTCAGGATAAGAAAGGGGATATTAAATTATATTTGTTTTAAAAGGGGGGCATTTGGTCTGATAGCACTGAGGATGGTTGATGCAGATAATCTGTCCAGCTTTTTGGTTACCTCATTACTCCACAGGTCTTTTCCTCTAGCCCACCTCAGCCCCTGCCCAAGTGGACATTCCCTAGACCTCATCACCAAGAACCACACCATTTCCAAAGTCTGGATTTAAACATCCTGCTCTCTGAGCATCAACCCCCCAATCCCATTCCCGTAGTTCATTAACTCTAGCAATTCTGTAACTTCAAAGAGACCTCTTGGCATTGACCCTATCACTTTCCATTTTTCCTTATCCCTTTTGTGTATCACTTTCCTCCTCTCCAGCCCAGACTTCATGGGCCAGTGTGACAACCACAACCTTGCAAACATCCATAATTCTGTGTCCTCTCTTGCCTGTCTCACTTGCCTGGGAAAAGTCTATCCTGATTAAACTCAGCTTTCTCACTCCATAGGCGCACCTAGCAAGCAGTTGAAGGTATGGAGAAAAACCACACAACTCTTTTCAAATTTGTGGCCACAAACCTCAAAGGGACACTCAACACTATTAGACAATTATTTCATATCTCCTTTGTAAATTCAGTCTTCCACTTTCCAAGATAATGATTTCCCACTTTTCTTCTCTCCATGAATCTTCAACACTTCCTCCCATATCCCTTCCATCTTAGCTGATGAAATTATAGAAGAGACAGAGGCACTTGGATGAGAACTATCTGATTTGTACGTCTATCATCCTCCCTCCACCTATGCCTACTAAGCCAGTGGCCACTCCTGATTCTACTTGAGCCACCCGCTCAACAGAATCTGAGAGTTAGCACACATTCTTTCTTGAAATGTATCCTTCTCTAGACTTCTGGGTCTACACACTTGCTGGTCTTGTGTTTATATCACTTATTGCTCCTTCAGAGCCTCTTTTGCTGGCTCTACCTCCACCAAACCTCTACACACGAGAAGGCCCAGGAATCTGCCATTGGCTCTCTTCTCTTATCTGTCTACCTTCTCTCCCCAGAAGATCTGGGCCATTTCTAAGGCTTCAGAGTCTACCTCTACACTGATGACTTCTACCTCCAGGCCAGCCTTCTCCCTAAACTCAGACTCATATGTCCAACTGCCCACCTGGACCTTCAAGTGAGATTTCTATCAGCCATTTTAAATCACCATAACCAAAATATAACTACTAATCACTGTGGCAGGCGGAATAATGGCCCCCAAAGACATGCAGGTCCTAATCCCTGCAGACTGTTAATGTTACCTTATATGGCAAAAGGGACTTGCAGATGTGACTAATTTAAGAACTGTGAACTAGGGGGAGAATCCTGGATTATTTAGGTAGATTGAATGCACTCCCAAGTGTTCTTATAAGAGCAAGACAGAGAGAGACATTGACAGAAGAGTAGGAGATGTGACATTGGAACAAAGATATGGAGCCATATAGGTAAGAGACAGGGAATGCAGGCAACTTCTAGAAACTTAAAAGCAAGGAGATGGATCCTCTTCTCAAAGCCACCAGAAAGAACCAGTCTTCTAACACCTTCACGTTAGACTTCTGTCTCCAGTACTATAAGAGAATACATGTGTGTTGTTCTAAGTCACTAAGTACGTGGTCACTTGTTACAGCAGCAATAGGAAACTAATACAGTCATGACCACTGCCACATAAATCCATCCCTCCTACCCTCTTGCCGTCCACATATTAGCAAATGGCACCACCACCAAAAGCTCCTGAGTTGTCCAGATTTTTCTCTTGACTCATACCTTACCTGTCAGCAAGCCTGTGAGCTCTACCGCTACATATGTCCTGACCACATGATTTCTCACGGAACCCTCTGCTATAACCCTAGCCCGGGCCACCATCCCTTCCTGCTTGAATCACTGTCACTTCCTGCTCCTGTTCGTTTCCCTCATCCAGTTCCACAGGAGCCAGGATGAACTTTCTGAAGGATAAACCAGAGCACATCACCCTGCCCCCCATTAAAACCCTTCAGTGGCTTCCCATTATACTTAGGATAAAATAAAAAAATCCCTTGCCATGGCCTATAAGGCCTTATCATAGTGGCCTCTGCACCCCCTTCTCTCTCTTTGTACTTCCCACTCATCACTGCACCTTGGCCACACTGACCTTTCTTCTGACCCATGTGCACTCCATTCCCATTTCCTGGCCTTCACACTTGCAGTTCCTATCACTAACATGCCCCCTCTCCAGATTTTTGCATGGTTTCTTCCTTCTCATCATTTACATATCAACATAAATACCACCTCCCCTCAAAAGGCCTTTCCTGCCACCCTCTCCTCTTGATGATAAAGCAGGACCCTCAGTGTCTATAGCCAGTGCCTCTTTAACCCTATTTTATCTTCCTCGTAGCATCCATCAGCACCTGAAATAGTCTCACGTGTTTGTTTATGAGTCTGCTGCACATCTCTCCACTAGAATATAAGCTCTCGGAGGGCAGGACTCTGTCTGTCCTGCTCACTGCACCAGCCCCAGTGCTTGGCACATACTAGACACATAATCAATCTTCATCTGCCTTGTTGTCTGCCGTGGCTTCTTTCTGGCTCTACACTGCTTCTGGCCAGGATAATTGTGTCCAAGTTGTCTTTCCCAGGGATGTAGTTCAGTACCATTGGGCTATTTGTTAAGCAGCAAAGAGTTAACTGGTGGAATTCCAGACATCAATTGGCAGGTACGGAATGCCCGTGGGTACCATTCATGGTGCCTTTGAGAGTACATGGTTGCTTCAACATCTGCCAAGTGCTGGGGCCGTGGCTACGTGGTAGAGGTAGGAAAATTGTCAATGGATGATGATTTGGGGTTTTGTCAAGCCAAGAAGTGGGAGGGGTGGAGGAGAGGTAGGCAAAGGCATTGCACATAGGTACACCACCATTTCATGAACTAGGTATGGCAGCCTTCCACCTTCTCCTTCTGAGGACTCACTGAGCTTAGAAATACAGAGATGGTAGCCCTATGGCTCAGAGCTGAAAGAGAGGCTTGAAAAGAACAAATCAAACTGGTACAAATCTAGTTTGCTCCAACATCTCTCAGTTGATACGCACAGGGAGACACTTTTTCCAGCAGTGACTTCCAGTCTCTTACTCAGCCTTTGCTTTCCTCTCTCTCTGGTGCCGCAGGTCTCATCATGCACGAGGGACCCTCTGTGTACCGCATCTTTAAACGCTGGCAGGCTGTCAACCAGCAGTGGAAAGTGCTGAACTATGACAAGATGAAAGACCTGGAGGACCAAAAGTCGGGAGGCAGGACAAATCTCCGGACCTCCTCAGCCACCCAGGCCAATGCCCCCTCCTCGGAAGAGGAGGCCGGGGGCACTCCGGGCCCTGAGGAAGGCCCTGCCCGGGTGGCCAGCCACCCCTCAGGCCCTCTGTCCGATCACCACTGTGCTTATACCATCCTGCACATCTTGAGTCACTTACGACCTCATGAACAGCGGAGCCCCCAGGGCGGGAGCCGGGAGCTCGTCATGAGGGTCACGACAGTGTAAGACGAGAGACCTGGAAGGGAGGCCGTGACCATGCACAGAGATGGGAAGGCTGGGCTGGGAAGGGGCCAGGGCCTGCCGGGGCCACAGTCTGGGGAGCAGGTGTGGGGAGGCCAGGGGGCACCCCAGGGGCTGGAACAGAGGGCAGGCAGAGGGCGGTGGGCCTTGAGGGGGGCCTACATGGCAGGGTCAGAGCTGGAGTGAGTGAGGCTGGTGGCCAGTCAGTCGAGCCTAATCTCCCAGAAGAGCAAGGAACTCCAGGACAGACTCAACAAGGAAGTGCGATCCAGCTGGAAACGAAAGGAAACACAAGGACAACAATCCCGGACGTGCCCATGCACACAACACCTGGGTGAAGAGGGGGCTGGGGAGGACGAAGCCGGGGAGTTGTTGGTATTCATGCCCCTGTGGGCATGAGGGCTGGGGAGGAACAATGCAAAGGGTGCACGAAGGAAAGGCACTGTGGCCTGCCTTGTTTCCCCCTTGAGTTTGCTTTTGTTTCTCCCTGGGCTGTGTTTGGGGCCGTGGTGGGGAGGGAGAGGGATGGGTGTGGGCTGGCAAGGATGACAGGCAGTATTGGTGGCCTCTGGGCTCATCTGGGTAGGCAGGATTCCTGACTCAGATGGCTTTAGGGACTCTGGGGCCATGTGCAGGGAGGGAGATGCTGCAGATGCAGAGGGAGGGTGATTTTTGGCTTCTCCCAATTTCAGAGGGGCTCAAAGGGGGCTTAGGTTTGGAGATGGGTGTCTTTTTGTGCCCTTATTGCTTTATTTTATGGTGGTTAGGCTCAAAGATGTTTACAAGAAACACACACACACAACTAGAGAAAAGTACAGGTTTCCCGTGGGTATCTCAAGCACAGTCCTGCTGTGGCTTCCGCCTTCAAAGTTGTCAATCCAGGAGTGACTTTCCCAACTACCCAACCCTGCCCATGGCCAGGACATGCTCAATGTCATGCCTTCTCCTGCTTTGGCGCATGCAGAGACCCAGGGCCCCCAAGGGCAGAGCACCTCCCACCCAGGATAGCTGCTACAACAGATGGGAGGAAGTTGGCTGGACATGCCCCAAGGAGTGGAGTGGAGACCAATCTAAGTATTCCTTGTAACTCGGGACCCTCCCCGGAGGGCGGTCATCCCTCAGTGCTACAAACTCCCTGGTCCCTCCCATGTAGCTAGGCAGGATGCAGGGACCCTAGCAAGGAGCACTGCCCTTGAGCCCACCTGCCAGTTCCTGGGACTTGCCAGGAAGGCCATGGGGGGTGGTCATCTGCAGAATTTCTCATTGTCAATGCACAATGGCCGCGCCATCCATGGGTATTAAAGGGACACTGTCAAGTACTTTTTTAAACTAGTTTTTAGGGTTTTTTAAAACTCTCTGTTGTTTGTATTATTCTCTTAAAAGCTTGAAAATAAAATTTCTTTCCCTATCATTAGTGTCCTTTTCCATATGGAAGTTTTTCCTTCCTTCTTGATTCCCCTCTTTTCTTTGTCGGCTCCACTTTCTTCCTTGCAAGAAATCATTTCTCTCTGAGGGTCCAGAGGGGGCAGGTGTGTGTGTGTGTGTGTGTGTGTGTGTGTGTGTGTGTGTGTGTGTGTG